CATGAGTATTCTGATGAACAAAAATCGGTTACAAAAATACCATGAAGGACCAATAGAAATGAGAATGCGAGAGGTGGCCATCATGAGAGCCGGAATTGCTGAGTGATTGTTTACGAGCCCCAGTTTATAAACAAGTGCAATGATCGCTCCAACCCCTATTCGGTGCTGAGGATCAATTTGGTGCTTAAGAATATACGTAGATCATTTGCCCAGAAAACTTCCTTCTATGCGTTTGTGAAATTAGCTTAGGAATAATGTGGTTGGCTGGCAGAACGAGAAAGCAAGCAATTCAGAAAGTACAACTTGTTTCGATTAACACAACAGAGAAAACAGGGGTCTTCATAGTTATTATCAACCAATAACCCATGATCTGAGTTCCATATTTCCAAATATATGTCTCCTGGAATGCAAACTTGAAATGCATTGATGTATATCCTGCTTTAACAGGTGGAAAAAACCCATCTCCAACCGCAAGATACAATTCGCGTGACTGTGTACTCTGACAAATCAAAGGCCATTAGGTCTGCATATTTTGAAGTCTTCCAGTTAACTTACCTGCCGGAGCTTGAAATGAGTGCCAATGCGGATGTTGAAGATAAGAAAGATGAACCTGGTTGTGTATCTATTGGCAAATCAAAGAAGGTTTCAGTTAAAAAGGGGTATTCCAAGCAATATGTTTCCAAAGTGGGTGAAAAGTTTCCACCCAATTTGGACACTCCCGGCCGAGTGGATCAAAAGCACGACGATCGACAACAAATAAAGGAAGAAGAACGGAAGGCTGGTTGCTTTATGGATCTGCCACTACCAACTAAACCAAAAACATTGGACCAAAGCATTGATGCGGCGGGAATAAGGATTGAATATCTCTTGCGCGTGAGTACCCTTGTTATTCTACCTACTGCATTTTGCAATCGGTTTCCTATTTGAACTGCATTCAGAATTGTCGTTGCACCTTACCTCACATTAATAACAGGCCTTTTCCCAAATAGAAAGGAGGCTCGGATGTCAGTTGGATAGGTCTTACATTCTGTGTAGAAGGATTGGTGATAGGGTTGGTAGGCGGACGGGGAGCACACGGTCGGCCTCCCGACGAGAAATTGCAAGGTATCACAGTACCTTCAATTAGGGCATGTTTCAGTCGACTTTAAAGAAAATTGGTTCCTTTTGGATATTTGTGATTGTCCAAAAACAAGCCTGCCACTCTGTGCAGTCTGAAGTACGCACGGAAGACACAGAGTTAGAACAGGCGCCGAATGAGGACGATTTATGGAGAAGGATTTGAGAAATGTAGTACATCGCTTACCAATAAAGGATACCAACGTTAAGTATTGCCCATTCGTCATCGACACTAGCTTGCATATGCTACAAACCCGAAACTCGAAGATTGAACAGAACTTCTCACACCTGACATTCAGATATTTTTAGGAAGTCAAATCCGGTGCCGTCGATTATCTAGCCTCAGGGCCGTAGAGTGAGTATTAGTGTCATATTAGAGATCAACTAAGCGAAGTCTACAGATTAGGCTTGCGTGCCTTTGCCACATGCATAGGTTCAATAAAATGTACCTCGAAAGTGTAAAATCTCGTCTGGGGTAGGCAATAGTAGAACCACCTTTTAATATGCCCTCTTTACAGTCAAAATATTAACAATGTTATTTTGGCCGCGGTGTACTTAAGCTGCAGGGTGTAATATAACTTAACCCTCGTGTCTACACTAAACCAATAATGTTCGAAAACTCTCAGATGCCGAATGATAAGTTGGATTTCAAATGTCAAAATTCTTGAATGTTGATATATTTAATCAAATACAGTGATTTGCTACCCGATGCGATGCAAACCAACATTCTGTAATTTTGAAACACTATTTTATCGGAGCAAATTTGAACGAAACGAAGATAACGAGATTAGCAAGATTTATTGACGTCATATAATTTTGCGACCTCTTATTCCACT